CTGCTCATTTCCACTGCGCGTCCGGGAATGGTACCGTGTGAATGTGTGAGTTTTTAAGCCGATAGCATCGCTTGAATTCAGAAGTCCAGTATACACCTCAAGGCCACTCTTCGTCCAACAACTGGTCCTTGAGCATGATAAAATCCTTTACAATTTTCAGCTTCAAACTGCCGCTGGTGACATCCACATCCCGCTTATCTATGCAGTCCATAAACACAAGCACCCTTACGAATAAAAATTTGTCGCTGGAGCAAATAAATTTTCCCTTCGCGCCTTATCGGCTACTTTGCATCATATATTAATGCACATTAGGACCCAATTCCGTAATTACTGTACACAAATGACCAAGCGTAAGGGATGGTCTATTTACTTTAGCATAGCTCATTCATTAGCTATTATACACGAATTCTCCACCCGAAGCAAAACTTTTAAGTATTCGCATACAGCAAGTTTCAGTAGCCCTTTCACTAACCTCTCCCATTCTGAAATTATCGATAACCTATGCTGTCTCACTGATCTCTGCTTCTCCACTACGGGAATGAAAGCACCGCTTTAAGTGAAATTCGCATTTTGGTACGCTAGTGAATGTCACCTTCTACACTAAAGATGAAGTTAAAGTGGACGCTCGCATCGTTCTCGAGGAAACTTACGTGACATTCTGTGGCCAAGCTTTCAATCAAGTACAGGGTGCACAAACGGAGGTACTGCTTGCCGACCTCACTCAGGCTACGGAGTGCGTTCACTGTCAGTTATCAGAATGCCGCTTCCTACGCGAGCACTCAACTTAATTTCCTCTGTTATATCGACGACGTTCTTGCTGTCTACTGCCTTAATTTCGTTGAAATCTCCAGTAGCATCTATGGGCCAAACCTGCAGATTAATAGCACTCACTCGGGACAAAGGGCTTGCTTTCTAATTCTGGGGATTGAAAGCCAAGGCGGTAGAAGTGCATAAAACATATACAATAAAACTTTGGACTACCCGTTCACAGTGAATCAAGAAGGATACTCAGACATTAATACTGGTGCAAAAAACGTCATTATATCCCAGTTAGTCCGTTATGCACGCATGCTTACTTTTTGGAGAGATGTCCGGGCTGGACGATTACTAAACATCTGTACACGTAAATGGCTCGAAATTGCAAAAACAGATTGTCCCGTTCTCAAATTTTGCTTAAGAAACCGATTTG